CTGATTCTACTGATTATAATATGAATACACCACCTGGTCGTACTTATCGATATTACACTGGTGTTCCTGAAGTACCCTTTGGATACGGACTCTCGTACACTACATTTGCATACTCTGACCTTTCAGTGTCAACTGATCACATAAAACCATGTGATAATATAATTGTAACGGTAACACTAACCAACACTGGTAGCATGATAGGTGAAGAGGTTGTGCAGGTGTACCTCACTCCTCCATCATCCCTTCCTGATTATACTCCTAATATACAGATGGTTGGTTTTGCTAGGGTGTCATTGAAACCGTCTGATAAGGAGATCCTTCATATTTCTGTATCAGCATATTTGATGTCATTTGTTGATGATAAAGGTGAGAGGTTAATCTATCCAGGGAGCTACACCTTTAGTGTTGGTGGGGCATTACCAGGGAAGACTACAGCAGTTGGTGACGTTACTATTGATACAGTATCATTTGATATTGATGGAGATGCTAGGCAACCAGTTGCAGTGTCTTCCTGCACTAATGACATTCCTAAATGCCTTGCTTGCTAATTGTGCTTCATTTATTTTTGCTACTTTTTTGCTAATAACATTTCTGCATTGAAAACAGAGCTACTCTTAATAATTTTGCAATGATAAAATGCTGGCTTTTTAACAGTTTGAATTAGAATAATTAACCATTCAATTAAAAACAATAACTTAAGCAGTAGTAAACATTACACTGAGCAGCAATAAAATAAATACATTGACTACACATGAACAGTGACTATGCATTTACCAGAAATTTCTAAAATAATGACAGTTAAATTCATATTCTTATTTCCTAGGAGGAGGTATAGGTTTCTTTGCAGTAGAGGGGAAGGAAGGTGGTACATACCCTCCAGCTGGAGTAGAAGATGGAGGAGGCCACTGTCTTGGAGGCTTTGGTGCTGTGGTCGGTTTAGGTGCAGTGGAAGGCTTTGGAGCAGTTGATGGCTTAGGAGGTGCAGTTGGTTTAGGAGGGGCAGTTGGTTTAGGAGGAGCCATGGGCTTTCCAGCAGGAGGAGGAGGAGGGCCAGAGGGACGAGAGGGAGGAGGAGGAGGGGGACGACTAGCAGGACTTTTTTGAGCTGGATTAGATGGTCTTGGAGGAGGAGGCTGTCTCTGTGGAGGCCTCTGAGGGGCAGAGGGAGGAGATGGTCTATTGACACTAACTGTGTTGACAGATGGTGGTATGTATGGACTGTATGCTCTCTGTTGTGGTGGAGTATCAGTTCTTTCTATCATCAAGAGGTCATCATGGGAGCCACTGACATTGATCTTTTTATCAGATGGAGTCCTGGAATACCTAATAACAACACAATAAATAACAATATTATTATTATTATTATTATTATTATTATTATTATTATTGTCATTTTTGGCACATTGTTTACACCTTAAAGTATTAACAATAACAAAAATAAACAATATTTTTAAAATTCTGAGCCCAAAATTTTTCAAATAGCCAGTAAATTTTTTAAAATTTATTGTGAATGCACTTTGGCCTGCCATGAGGGAATAAATTTTTTAATGATTTCCAAATAATTATGGCAAATTTAGTGGTTCAAATTTCTATCTATTATGGTACTAAAAATGAATGACAATAAAAAAGATAACAAAACATACCTTGATCTGGAGCTGGAGGTAGGAGTTGATTTGAGATTAACGTTAGTTGATTTCCTGCTTCTCAGTAACACCAGCAATACAATAGCCACCGCTACCACAGCTATCAATATTATTAGAATCAACACACCAGCCACTGCACCTCCTACTGCTGCTGCATTACCTAAGAATAAAAGAAACAATAATTATTAATAAAATGGTATTATTGTAGCTATTATTATCATTATCATCATTTTTTCCTTTTTTCCTCCTCCTCCTCCTTATTATACATAATTTTTAAAATAATTAATCAGCTCATGAATTATTGATTAGCCGGATGAATGCCGGACTGGATGCCCACCTGCAAAGAATCCTACAATCCCTCCATCGTCTAGATCTGTCGCTGTGGGTCCTGTAAACTGTGATACTGTGCTGGCCTGTGATACTGTGGGCTTGGTCATGCTATGTACAATGGATGTTTGGGTTTTTGAAGGGCGTGGCAAGACAATAGAAGATGTATTAACTACAGTATGACTACTGGATGACGTCACCAATGAAGACATTGATGAAGATAGTGACGAAGTTATTGATGAAGATGTTGAAGTTTTTGATGAAGTCATCGATGAAGTTATTGATGAAGTTTTTGATAAATTAATTATAATGCTTTTAGAGGGGGAGGGGGAGGAGGACGAGGACGAGGGAGGAGAGGAAATAGAGGTAGAGGAAATAGTAGGGGTAGAGCTTAATTTAGAGGAAGAGGAGGAATCACTTGTAACAGAGGGAGGAGAAAGTGTAGAGGTGGACTGTGCATTACTACTAGAGGAAATGAATGTGCTAGTAGAAGTGGATCGTGTAATACTAGAGGAAGTGGGTCGTGCATTAATACTAGTAGAAGTGGATGGTGCATTGGCAGTAGAGGAGGAACTGGAGGATGGTGTGGGTATATCTGCAAGCATAAGGCAAAACTATAATTATTCAGAAATTGGTTGGTTTATTTTATCATTAATTAGAATAGTCAATAAATAATAATTATTACTATTAATTATGTTATTGTTCATTTTGATATCAGTATTATGATTATTGCTATTAATTATTACGGAACTAACCTGATGTTCTTGTTGTTGTTGTAGTAGTTGTTGTTGTTGTAGTAGTTGTTGTTGTTGTAGTAGTTGTTGTTCCATGTATTTGACTGCAATCACTACCAATGTAACCAACATTACAGGAGCACTGGTTTAAACTATTGCACACCTGAAGTGAGGGAGGGAGGGAGGAACAAAGAAAGAGATTATATTACAGCCCTTTGCACAAAACTTGCACCAGTCTGATCATGTGACTTCATAAAAATATTAAGTTAAGCCTATGGCTAATCATTATGTGACTAAAACTGGTGGTGGCAAGTTTTCTGCAAAAGGCTGTAAATGAACTGACAAGTATTTGGACATAGTGCTTATGCAGCTTTTTGTCAGTGGAGGCCAAAAAACCCTGCATGCTCAATTACTCATACATAATAACAACAAATATCACAAGAGAATTCTCCATTCTATAATTTTTTCTGCCTTGGACAAAAATCAAATTTTGTCAAAAATGGCTACAAAAAATTCTTCATTATAAATAATATTTTCTGATGCACATACACGTTCTTATGTTGTGTATTAACTTTGAGCTGATTTTGATCAAATTTGAATTTTTTATGAATTTTTTAAAGCTGCTCAAAAATTTGAAAGGCTATGGTCAAATTTTGTCAAAAATGGCTATGAGAAAATTCTTCATTTTCACAATATTTTTTCTGATACTGTACATGTCTTTATGTTGTATATCAACTTTGCACTGATTAATCAATACTAATTTTTGAATTAATTTTAAACTTGATCCAAATCCATGTACTGTACTTGTCAGCTCATATGAAGCATGCTGTTTGCATGCTTTGTGGGAAACCCTGAATGTACATATATAGCAATCTTAGCAATAATGGCATGAGAAAGTGGTAAAGTGAGAGAAGCTCTTACGCCATTTCCAGAGCATGTCTGTCCATTACTTCCAATAGGGCAAGAGCTGACTCCCTCCAGTGATGTAATTGATAAGCAACGCTGATTAACACACATCTAATCAGAATAAAAAAATAATTTAATAATAAGAAGAGGAAATAGATAAAGCAAATAGGAGTTGTGTTTGCAGGTAATGAATTTCACAAATATTTTGTGTTTTGTAGGTGCAGCAAAATATATTTGTGAAACTTTATATCACAAATACAGTATAGGGGTTATACTTCACCGGAAATAAAATAATATTGCTAATTTTGCGTTTTTATCAAATTTGTGAAATGGAAAACCTGGACAAATTCACAAAATTTTACACCCATGAAATATAGTGCTATGGAATAATACATCTTTTCAGAGTATCATAAAGTTA